TAACCTGCATAATATAATTTGACTGCCTTTTAGTTCTTCTCATGTGATTATTTTATTGCAGTGTTTTTTGCCGGTGTGTTGATCCAACGCTGTGGTTGCAAGCTGGTCGGTATTATAGGAGGAGTGTTGACAACGCTTGGTATGTTAGGCAGCGTCTGGGTGCAAACTATCTCCCAGTTATACCTCACAGCCGTTGTAGCAGGTATGATCCAGATGTTTGACAAAATAGGATGATCAACTATTGATCAAGCAACCTTTATTAAGGGAATAATGGTTGAAGGACCCATTCATCACTGCGTGATAATGACCGGGTTTAGGATGGCCGTTGTGAAAGGACCTTCGGCTCCGTCCTTTAACCTCGGCCATTCCCCAGCTCGGTCATTATCATGCAGTGAAGAATGGGTCCTCACAATGTTATTCCATAAGTTTCGGCGAAATAAAAAATGCACGCATTTTGTGATTTTTCTTTCGGCGATATTTCCAGGGTATGCACTTCCTCTGTCATAGCGAAACAAATTACAACAATTGTTTTTCATATTTTCACCTTACAGAGGAAGCTGGAATTCCGTTTACATATTCCTTGCGTCTAGAATTACAAGATGCTTGGTTAAGAAAAAAAGTAAATATGTCCGTGGGCGACGTGTTTACAGAAAATAAATCGCCGATCCACGTTTTCGTCGTAAACATCCGCAGTACGAACATGGCAACTGTGTTGCATTCGCGCGCGTATATATAACTCTTCACACCGTGGCTGAGCGCATGTGCACTGCTGTATACTGTTACAAGCTACCATAGGACTGTTGAACATTTTGGCCAACCATTGGCTTGCATGATGCTTGTTTTTGAAGCCAGTCTTTATATCACATTTTAATGCACCCCACGTGATCCAGTCTCAATCAGAAGCTATCAACTCTCCAAGGTATTTATTAGGCCTAATTGACATTCATTGATTCGTAAGAGCGATTTAGAGTCAATCTGACCTATCTATCCATAGCTCGATTCATGTGTGCTGAATCGATTCCAAAGCTTTCAAAATGAATACTCCATTCATTATATTATACCCTGTGTTAACAGAAGATATCCAGAGAAATAGGTTCTTTAAAAGAACTTATAATCTAGCCTTCAGTTTTTGGTGGTGCAGGAGGAGGTTATTGACACTGGCAAACATGTACTGTTTCCGTCTACTCTATACAGGTGTTGGTCTTGGAATCACTACGAACACCGCCCTGGTCGCAGTTGCCCTGCACTTCAAGAAGGGATACAAGACAGCCAACGCTCTTGCCTACTCTGGTTGCGGTACGGGGAAGATGGCAGCGCCGCCCTTAATCCAGCTTGTCATGGACAGTTTCGGCTTAAGAGGGGCGGTGCTGATTGTCTCCGCGATCATGGCAAACATCGTAGTATTCAGCGCACTTTTTCGGAAACCTCGCACAGATTGGAAATCAGGACCGGATCACAGAGCAATTATTGATCAACTCACAGAGAGGCAGGAGGCGGATTTTCAAACTGTACATGCAAATGGTTTAGCTGAGACGGCTTCGGAAAGCGATGGTACATCGGACGATTCGGATGCTACGGTGAACCATGAGACACATGCCGAAGAAGGCAAATCAAATGTCTACACTACTCACAATATCAGCCGCCATGCATCGAAATTCAAACTCAATCCCATTCGGAAAATGTGGTCGCGGCTGGGACTCAGCGTTTTTCGGAAGAGCTACCGCTTTAGCCTGCTGTGTCTTCTTGCATTCATATCCACGATTCCTTATTTTGGAGCCGATCTGTTCATCATTCCCCGCGCGGAGAGTATTGGCGTGGCGCTCTCTAGTGCCGCCTTTTTGCTCAGTATGAACGGCATCGGTGGCTTGCTGGGTCGTCTTGTCAACGGACTGTTCATCAGTTGCAAGTTGTCTGCTGAGATTGTCTGCTCCATCTGTGCGGCTGGGACCGGTGCGTCAATACTTCTCCTCAACGCTGATAACTACGTTTGTTTGTCTGTCGCTTCCTTCCTCCTGGGCCTGTTTACTGGTGTCTTTTACGCGGTTGCAATTGTCCTGATACGACGCTATGTTGGTTGCAGACGGTTTTCCGTTTGTCTAGGTATCTACTACGCCTTTGTTGGCGCTGGAGGATTGTTTGGACCAGTAGCAGCAGGTAAAAAAGGACCTAAGGGATGATATTTGAATGGGGTTTAGAGAAGTTCAAGCAGCGCAGAGAGATAGGTTTTTGACAAGGCCATCTTGACTATAGGTTTTTGACAAGGCCATCCTGGCAGAGCGCCAGGCATTTCGACTGACATGATCAGCGAAGCCACGGCGCGAATTAAGAAGAAGAACGCTCGTAACGAGTGACCATTGTACCGATGTCTTTCGCAGTCGGTCATAATTTCTCCCAGGCCCCATTTTAAATATTTTTTTAACGTCTTCGTTGGGAATCTATGTCAGCACTAAAGAAGCAAAAAAGTCTGAAGTCAAGATGGCCTTTCAGCTGTGTGACAGGTGCGATATTACATTGCTGGTCAAGTTTTATTACATTTACTGGTTGATATTACATTATTGTTCAATTATTACATTACTGGTCATAACACCTGTGCGCGCGGTCAAAACTTGGCGAAGTACAATAAAGGCGACGCGATGTGTGCAGTGACATGCATTTTTAATCATTCGACGCTCCCATAACAGTTGCTGATTTTATGCTTGCAGTCAGTTTCCCCTGGCAAAGCCGCCAAGTGTTTTGTTAGCGCACATGCACATATTTCTTGTGGGCAAACTATTTGCATGATATTTGAAGTATATATATATTTCCAGCGCGTCCCAAAATACCCGCAACTTATATTGGCGAGGCTCTAGCGTCGGCGCGGAAACACGTACCACCAATATTTGTATACTATTTTAAGCTGCAATCTCAACTGCATCCCTGGCGAGTATTGGTTTTATATTTAAAAGCCTTTTAAAATTGTTCGTGTTCAAATAAAGGTATTTTAAGGGCAATCGATGATGCGGTACAGCAGATGCAAACTCGAGTCAACAAGCTGTTGAAATAACAACAAAAATAAGTTCATTTATATTACAAATACATTGAACTTTAAACGAAGAACAATATTGTGTATTTATTCATTGTGTATTCTTCTTGGATCGAAAGTAAAAGGAAACACATGATTGTAGAAGACGAGATCGTCACATCGTGAACATGATGAAGCATTTCCACATTAGAAAAAAATGCGCACGATTGATTTTTCTTGAAACCGGTTGAGTTTGTTTTTGACATGCCTTAATTTCAACACGGATAATTTCAAAACCCTTTTGAAAATCAAACCAATACTTACCATGAATAAAGATAAGATTCCAAGCTTTAACAATTATATACAAACAATAGCGGTACGTGTTTCCACGGCGACGCTACAGCCTCGCAAAAAAAGTTCCTGGTATTTTGGGGCGCGCTGTATATGGCATTGCATTTTATGAATCAACAACGACCTAGATAAATCGAAATCAAAACACCTCGTGACTTCGTCACTCGGCCTGCATGTTTAGTCTTTGCTCAATGCATTCCAAGGCTTTGCAGCTTTGTGTCTCCAGTTCAAATCCTATATAGTACTTTTCCAAATGATTTTTACGGTGATTTGTTTGATCAAAATTGAGGCACGAAACTCCTTTGGGAGATGAGTTTGATGGAAAACCTTGCAACAGTGGTTTACTGCTCAAATTGATGTTTTCCTCATTCTCACATACAGGTTGGGTGTTTGATATTTCATACAGCTACAAGACGGTCTTCTACGTGTTGGCAGGTGTCGACTTCATCTGCTGCATTCTGATGTTTCTCTTTCCTGTACTGAAGCGAGTCGAGCCAGGAATTGATGATCATCAAACCAATGAAGTGAACTAACTGAATTGTATGGAGTGCTAAAAAAAAGTGTAATCAATTAGACAGCTTTGTATGCGAGAACTATATACCGCAATATCACTATTTTTACCAAAGGTCAATGAGTTCCATGATGCCAGAAATTTCCGGCTTCACTAACGCAGAGTTCGAGATGATTTGTGGAGAAAAGATGGGTTCCCAGTTTAGAATGCTGAGCTGGAATGATGAATATAAAAACCACTTTTGAATGGATTCCACTTTTGGTGACCATTGAAGAGCACTATTGACAAAGAGAGCATTTTTGTGTGTGTTGAATCTGCAGGGATATCAGCCTTTGTAATACTAGCGGTGGCGAGTCATGTTTGTTTAGTCTTTACATGTAAAAAAAATAAAATCATGAGTGGCCATAATTTGTTAACAAAGTACATGAACAAACTAACTATGACATTGTGTCAGTCTATCCCCTGTGGTAAAATTTATAAGGACAAGAGTATTCAGAGACGGGAAAGTTTGTGGCGCTCTAATGAAAGCCCACTTAACTTTTAAAGTGGAGTCGAGTCATTAGTTTGGTTTACACGTGCTTTTATTAATGTGTTGTCGACTCGAGTTGACTGCAAATAGGTCATAATTGAGACTTTTAGATCAGACTGAGATTCCGGATCAGATGCGTTCGAAATATTTTTCTTTCAATTCTTTCAGTGTGAATACTGACTTCAGTTTCTTTCTTTCACCTAATTTGAGAAAAAAATAGGATAACCAGGACGCCCTTATTTGCAGACTTGTAAAGGTCATCAATTCCTATAGCTTACTCATCATTGTCCAAATTTAATTCTTTTAGGCCTATATTAAAAACGTTGTGGATGCATGTTTTTTTCCTCAATAGTTTGTACCTTGAAATGAACTGCCCATAACTACTCATATTTAGACACATGGATAAATCTAACGTGAGATACAAGAACATCGAGTAATAACAATATGGTGCTAGCAATCACGTGAGAGCGTGTTGTTCAATTAAACAGAGAGTTCTGCAACGACGGCCCTTGATACCTGAAGCTAAAGGACCTTCCCCATGCTTGGAACTAATTTGGTCGTGAAATCATCATGACTGTAAAACGAGATGAATTGTGATTAGGAATTGGAATATTAGAAGAAAATAAAACGAATAACACCAGCCAAGGGGAAACAGCTTACTCACTTTTCAACAAATAAATCCAACTGCTCGCGAATTTAATGACCATTTAATCTGGTCACATTAGGCAGAGAATGTCCTCTAGACATCAACAAAGAACGCAACAATGACGCAACAATGAGATATGATAAGACGGCAAGCATGGACATTTGCAATCGGCACCAAACCAATGTTTCCCCGTGAGTATAATGGTTTTATCATTTACGTGATAAAATGTCTTAAGTACACATTGGGCCATGACTGTTTACATCTCGTGAACACCGTCCATAGCAAACATATGAATGATAATGAGTGTAAAAGAACAATAATATAAAAAGTCATGAATACAATGACCGGCTCCATATCCTTCCAGTGAACCAGTATGGTAGGAAGTGGCAAGACCTCAGTTGCTGCCCGTGTGCAGGATCAGCCGAGCCGATGGGGCATTGTTGTCGTCGTTGCCGCCCACATGAGCCTGGCGCTGATTGCATTTTGTCAGAGCTCTGGCAGTGTCTTCTATCTGAGCTGGAGGAGCGAATTTGACACGAACGCCAAGGAGACTGCGGCCATCTCCAGTATCATGACCTGTGTCTGCAGCTTCAGTAGTAAGTGCTTAATCAGTGTCGATCATTGCGTTGCATCATTGTGTTGAAACCATTGATGACTATTGTTCCCCGGATACATCCGGATACCGGATACATCAGATTCGAACCGGCTGGCCGCGGCAAACCAAGCAAGCTCGGTGTAAGCTTATGAATGTTTTTTTAGTCTTGACCTCGGTGAGCATTGCGTTTTTACAGTGGTCATGAGATTGCGTCATTGAAAGGCAAACCCTTGATTGAGTCTGTTGATTTCTCCCCGTTTTATAAATTTGTAAATAAATCGTCGGCCGTTACTGTATGGCCTGCATAATATAATTTGACTGCCTTTTAGTTATGTTTTCTCATGTGATATTTTGTTTCAGTGTTTGTTGGCGGTGTTATGACCCAACGCTGTGGTTGCAAGCTGGTCGGTATTATAGGAGGAGTGTTGACAACGCTTGGTATGTTAGACAGCGTCTGGGTGCAAAACATCTCCCAGTTGTACCTCACAGCCGTTGTAACAGGTAAGATAAAGATGTTTGACGAAATATATAATAGGATGATCAAGCATTGAGCAAACGACCTTGTACCTTGTACTTGTAGATTAAAATCCTGAACGGGCCACCATGGTTTAGTCCCTGGTGCACCAGGGACTAAACTGGAAGTTGACGAGAGTGGATTGATGCCTATAATGCCTTTTTGCCATTTATTGAGCAATAAGAGCGCTTTGAAGTCAACCAGATCTATCCATCCAGCTCGGTTCACGTGTGCCAAATACACCCGAATACCAGTGTTGTAGCCTAGTCCATAATGATCTCCTGACAAGTCACCCAATCCAAGTTCAATGCATTAACTTAAAATGAATTGTTACAAAGGCGTTCCTTTGAAATTGCCCATCCCTTGTTACTTGTGCCGGACCCGTTATTGGACTTGGGAATCCTTGTGACCGCACTTTGTGATGGATTTACTACAACATAAACCCCTGCCACTCAATAGATCCCAGTCATGTATCCTGTGTTATCAGACGATATCCTGTGAACAAGGTTCTTGAAAACGACCTTAAATTTTCGTGAGGGATGTCATTGACCATTGTAAACATGTAATGTTTCCGTCTACTCTACAGGCGTTGGTCTTGGAATATGGCTAAGAACACTGCGTTGGTCGCTGTCGCTCTACACTTCAAGAATGGATACACTACAGCCAACGCCCTGGCGTGCTCTGGTAGTGGTACAGGGAAAATGGCAGCGCCGCCATTAATCCAGCTTCTCCTTGACTATTTTGGCTTAAGAGGGGCGTTGCTAGTTACCTCCGCAATTGTGGCAAACATGGTAGTATTCGGCACACTCTTTCGGAAACCTCGAACAGATCGGAAATCAGAACTGGATCACAGATCAATTGATAAACTCACAGAGAGGACAGACGTGGATTTTCAAATCGTACACGCAAATGATGCAGTTGAGATGGCTTTGGAAAGCCATAGTTCGTCGGACGATTCAGATGCTACAATGAACCATTCAGAGACACACACAAATATAGAAGAAGGCCAATGAAATGTCTCATCTACTACTCACAATACCAGCTTCCGTGCATGGAAATTGAAACTCGATCCCATTAGGGCGACCGACTTATTAACACAAAAGTACTAGATAGCCAAATAATTAGGGCGACACGGCATAACGCAAAAGAACTAGCTAGCCAAATAATTTTAGCGTCGCAAATTGGCTTAATCGATTGCTGTTGGTCCAAAACGTAAACATACCAAAATTTGTTTGGGTCGGATAAGGTAAAATTGGGTAAGGTCACATTAAAGTTTTGTACACATGTCTATGGCACGTCGTTCACCATCGGCCATCGCACGACAGGTCTGACGATTTGAAAGGAAATCAACGGCAGCGCCGTCTGACGATTAGCCTGGCCCGCCCTTCCTCGACTTTCTGATATTCTACGCCGCAACTATAAAGGTATACACATTTACAGTGTTTTTTTTGTCTCTATATCCACGAAACGGCCAATACGTTAGTGCGAGTAGGCCCACAGGTCTAATTGTTGTGCTAATAGAGGGGCACTATGCACCATCCACTATCGATCACTATCGTCTTGGGCCAATATTATGAAAAGGTCAAACAATCGAATTATTTATATGAATTTCACTCTGAACCACTCAATATTTGTACACAATCGCCTTTGACCGTGACCTGCACGGGGTCCACAGCAAAGATAAATTATCATGATTGCAATGAACCAAAATATAAAAAAAGTAATGCATAAAATGATCGGCTCCCATATGCCACCAACGAACCAGTATGGCAGGAAGTGGCAGGACCTCAGTTGGGGCCCGTGTGCAGGACCAGCCGAGCCGATGGGGCATTATTGTCGTCGTTGCCGCCCACATGAACTTGGCGCTGGTGGAAAGTTGTCTGCGTACTTGCAGTGTCTTCTATCTGAACTGGAGGAGCGAGTTTGACACAAACGCTAAGGAGACTGCGGCCATCTCCAGTATCATGACCTCTGTCTCCTGCTTCAGTAGTAAGTGCAAACTCGGTGTTTCATCATTGTGTTGAAACTGTTGATGGTATACAGTAATTTGCCGGCTAACATGAATATGTATGTCTCGGGTCAAAGTTAACGGACTTTGATTGGAGATCGTGTTATATACGAATCAGAAATTCTCGGCCGAATTCGGCCGAAAATGTAAAGAAACACTTAAGAAATTCGCCACGGTTGCGTCAAGGCTGTCATCCGCCTCGACTTACCGTGCGGATGTTTACGGATGTGAGTGGGGTGTACGTATGTACGTGCAGACCAATCACAAGCAACAGTTGTTAAGGCTAACGGTAGTACAGCCACTGATCTCTGTGCGCGGCGCTGTACGGTGTGCGGTAGCGGGAATTAGCTCGTTTGGGGAACAAGCTTGACAGCCTTGATCAAGACTAAAGTCCCTCCAATGTAAGCCCCAGAGCCGTATATAGAGAGAGTTGCGACATAAGGGTCGCACTGTTTGGAACCAAAATGGTTTTTTTCTTGCGAGCTCTTGGCCTCGGTCATCATACAGTGGTCATGATATTACATCATGAAAAGGCAAAAGCCTAGATTGAGTCTGTTGAATCTTTTCGGTTTTATATATTTTTTAAGGTAAATCGTGGGCCGTTACTGTATAACCTGCATAATATAATTTGACTGCCTTTTAGTTCTTCTCATGTGATTATTTTATTGCAGTGTTTTTTGCCGGTGTGTTGATCCAACGCTGTGGTTGCAAGCTGGTCGGTATTACAGGAGGAGTGTTGACAACGCTTGGTATGTTAGGCAGCGTCTGGGTGCAAACTATCTCCCAGTTGTACCTCACAGCCGTTGTAGCAGGTATGATCCAGATGTTTGACAAAATAGGATGATCAACTATTGATCAAGCAACCTTTATTAAGGGAATAATGGTTGAAGGACCCATTCATCACTGCGTGATAATGACCGGGTTTGGGATGGCCGTTGTGAAAGGACCTTCGGCTACGTCCTTTAACCTCGGCCATTCCCCAGCTCGGTCATTATCATGCAGTGAAGAATGGGTCCTCACAATGTTATTCCATAAGTTTCGGCGAAATAAAAAATGCACGCATTTTGTGATTTTTCTTTCGGCGATATTTCCAGGGTATGCACTTCCTCTGTCATAGCGAAACAAATTACAACAATTGTTTTTCATATTTTCACCTTACAGAGGAAGCTGGAATTTCGTTTACATATTCCTTGCGTGTAGAATTACAAGATGCTTGGTTAAGAAAAAGTAAATATGTCCGTGGGCGACGTGTTTACAGGAAATATATCGCCGATCCACGTTTTCGTCGTAAACATCCGCAGTACGAACATGTTGTGTGAAGACTTATTTCACGCACCCATGGCAACTGTGTTGCATACGCGCGCGTATATATAACTCTTCACACCGTGGTTGAGCGCATGTGCACTGCTGTATACTGTTACAAGCTACCATAGGACTGTTGAACATTTGGCCAACCATTGGCTTGCATGATGCTCGTTTTTGAAGCCAGTCTTTATATCACATTTTAATGCACCCCACGTGATCCAGTCTCAATCAGAAGCTATCAACTCTCCAAGGTATTTATTATATTGACATTCATTGATTCATAAGAGCGATTTAGAGTCAACCTGACCTATCTATCCATAGCTCGATTCATGTGTGCTGAATCGATTCCAAAGCTTTCAAAATGAATACTCCATTCATTATATTATACCCTGTGTTAACAGAAGATATCCAGAGAAATAGGTTCTTTAAAAGACCTTATGATCTAGCCTTCAGTTTTTGGTGGTGCAGGAGGAGGTTATTGACACTGGCAAACATGTACTGTTTCCGTCTACTCTATACAGGTGTTGGTCTTGGAATCACTACGAACACCGCCCTGGTCGCAGTTGCCCTGCACTTCAAGAAGGGATACAAGACAGCCAACGCTCTTGCTTACTCTGGTTGCGGTACGGGGAAGATGGCAGCGCCGCCATTAATCCAGCTTGTCTTGGACAGTTTCGGCTTAAGAGGGGCGGTGCTGATTGTCTCCGCAATCATGGCAAACATCGTAGTATTCAGCGCACTTTTTCGGAAACCTCGCACAGATTGGAAATCAGGACCGGATCACAGAGCAATTATTGATCAACTCACGGAGAGGCAGGAGGCGGATTTTCAAACCGTACATGCAAATGGTTTAGCTGAGATGGCTTCGGAAAGCGATGGTACATCGGACGATTCGGATGCTACGGTGAACCATGAGACACATGCCGAAGAAGGCCAATCAAATGTCTACACTACTCACAATATCAGCCGCCATGCATCGAAATTGAAACTCAATCCCATTCGGAAAATGTGGTCGCGGCTGGGACTCAGCGTTTTTCGGAAGAGCTACCGCTTTAGCCTGCTGTGTCTTCTTGCATTCATATCCACGATTCCTTATTTTGGAGCCGATCTGTTCATCATTCCCCGCGCGGAGAGTATTGGCGTGGCGCTCTCTAGTGCCGCCTTTTTGCTCAGTCTGAACGGCATCGGTGGCTTGCTGGGTCGTCTTGTCAACGGACTGTTCATCAGTTGCAAGTTGTCTGCTGAGATCGTCTGCTCCATCTGTGCGGCTGGGGCAGGTGTCTCAGTACTCCTCCTCAACGCTGATAACTACGTTTGTTTGTCTGTCGCTTCCTTCCTCCTGGGCTTGTTTACTGGTGTCTTTTACGCGGTTGCAATTGTCCTGATACGACGCTATGTTGGTTGCAAACGATTTTCCGTTTGTCTAGGTATCTACTACGCCTTTGTTGGCGCTGGAGGATTGTTTGGACCAGTAGCAGCAGGTAAAAAAGGACCTCAGAGATGATATTTGAATGGGGTTTAGAGAAATATCTGCTGAAGTTCAAGCGGCGCAGAGAGTTTTTGACAAGGCCATCTTGACTATAGGTTTTTGACAAGGCCATCCTGGCAGAGCGCCAGGCATTTCGACTGACCAGCGAAGCCACGGCGCGAATTAAGCGAAAAACTCTCGAAATGAGTGACCATTGTACCGATGTCTTTCTCAGTTGGTCATAATTTCTCCCAGGCCCCATTTTAAATATTTTTTTTCACGTCTTCGTTGGGAAACTATGTCAGCACTAAAGAAGCAAAAAAGTCTGAAGTCAAGATGGCCTTTCAGCTGTGTGACAGGTGCGATATTACATTGCTGGTCAAGTTTTATTACATTTACTGGTCGATATTACATTATTGTTCAATTATTACATTACTGGTCATAACACCTGTGCGCGCGGTCAAAACTAAAGGCGACGCGATGTGTGCGCAGTGACGTGCATTTTTTTAATCATTCTACGCTCCCATTGCTGATTTTATGCTTGCAGTCAGTTTCCCCTGGCAAAGCCGCCAAGTGTTTTGTTAGCGCACATGCACATATTTCTTGTGGGCAAACTATTTGCATGATATTTAAAGTATACATAATTTCCAGCGCGTCCCAAAATACCCGCAACTTATATTTGCGAGGCTCTAGCGTCGGCGCGGAAACACGTACCGCCAATATTTGTATATAATTTTAAGCTGCAATCTCAACTGCATCCCTGGCGAGTATTGGTTTCATATTTAAAAGCCTTTTAAAATTATTCGTGTTCAAATAAAGGTATTTTAAGGGCAATCGATGATGCGGTACAGCAGATGCAAACTCGAGTCAACAAGCTGTTGAAATAACAACAAAAATAACTTCATTTATATTACAAATACTTTGAACTTTAAACGAAGAACAATATTGTGTATTTATTCATTGTGTATTCTTCTTGAAAGTAAAAGGAAACACATGACTGTAGAAGACGAGATCGTCACATCGTGAACATGATGAAGCATTTCCACATAGTAGAAAAAATGCGCACGATTGATTTTCCTTGAAACCGGTTGAGTTTATTTTTGATATGCCTTTATTTCAACACGGATAATTTTAAAACCCTTTTGAAAATCAAACCAATACTTACCATGAATAAAGATACGATTCCAAGCTTTAACAATTATATACAAACAATAGCGGTACGTGTTTCCACGGCGACGCTACAGCCTCGCAAAAAAAGTTGCTGGTATTTTGGGGCGCGCTGTATATGGCATTGCATTTTATGAATCAACAACGACCTAGATAAATCGAAATCAAAACACCTCGTGACTTCGTCACACGGCCTGCATGTTTAGTCTTTGCTCAATGCATTCCAAGGCTTTGCAGCTTTGTGTCTCCAGTTCAAATCCTATATAGCACTTTTCCAAATGATTTTTACGGTGATTTGTTTGATCAAAATTGAGGCGCGAAACTCCTTTGGGAGATGAGTTTGATGGAAAACCTTGCAACAGTGGTTTACTGCTCAAATTGATGTTTTCCTCATTCTCACATACAGGTTGGGTGTTTGATATTTCATACAGCTACAAGACGGTCTTCTACGTGTTGGCAGGTGTCGACTTCATCTGCTGCATTCTGATGTTTCTCTTTCCTGTACTGAAGCGAGTCGAGCCAGGAATTGATGATCATCAAACCAATGAAGTGAACTAACTGAATTGTATGGAGTGCTAAAAAAAAGTGTAATCAATTAGACAGCTTTGTATGCGAGAACTATATACCGCAATATCACTATTTTTACCAAAGGTCAATGAGATCCATGATGCCAGAAATTTCCGGCTTCACTAACGCAGAGTTCGAGATGATTTGTGGAGAAAAGATGGGTTCCCAGTTTAGATGCTGAGCTGGAATGACGAATATAAAAACCACTTTTGCATGGATTCCACTTTTGGTGACCATTGAAGTGCACTATTGACAAAGAGAGCATTTTTGTGTGTGTTGAATCTGCAGGGATATCAGCCTTTGTAATACTAGCGGTGGCGAGTCATGTTTGTTTAGTCTTTACATGTAAAAAAAAAATAAAATCATGAGTGGCCATAATTTGTTAACAAAATACATGAACAAATTAACTATGACATTGTGCCAGTCGATCCCCTGTGGTAAAATTTATAAGGACAAGAGTATTCAGAGACGGGAAAGTTTGTGGCACTCTAATGAAAGCCCACCTAACTTTTAAAGTGGAGTCGAGTCATTAGTTTGGCTTACACATGCTTTTATTCATGTGTTGTCGACTCGAGTTGACTGCAAATAGGTCACAATTGAGACTTTTAGACCAGACTGAGATTCCGGATCAGATGCGTTTGAAATATTTTTCTTTTAATTCTTTCAATGTGAATACTGACTTCAGTTTCTTTCATTCACCTAATGTGCGATAAAAAAAATAAGATAACAGGACGTCATAATTTGCAGACTTGTAAAGGGCATCAATTCCTTTAGCTTACTCATCATTGTCCAAATTTAATTCTTTTATATGGAAAACGTTGTGGATGCATGTTTTTTTCCTGAATAGTTTGTACCTTGAAATGAACTTTGCCCATAACTACTCATATTTAGAATTAACATGGATAAATCTAACGTGAGATACAAGAACATCGAGTAATATTATGGTGCCAGCAATCACGTGAGAGCGTGTTGTTCAATTAAACAAAGAGTTCTGCAACGACGGCCCTTGATACCTTAAGCTAAAGGACCTTCCCCATGCTTGGAACTAATTTGGTCGTGAACTCTTTATGACTGTAAAACGAAATGAATTGTGATTTATAGGAATTGGAATATTAGAAGAAAATAAAACGAACAACATCAGCCAAGGGGCGGGGAAACAGCTTACTCACTTTTCAACAAATACATCCAACTGCTCGCGAATTTAATGACCATCTAATCTGGTCACAGGAGGCAGAGAATGTCCTCTAGACATCAACAAAGAACGCAACAGTTACGCAACAATGAGATAATGATAAGACGGCAAGCATGGAAATTTGCAATCGGCACCAAACCAATGTTTCCCCGTGAGTATAATGGTTTTATCATTTACGTGATAAAATGTCTTAAGTACACATAGGGCCATGACTGTTTACATCTCGTGAACACCGTCCATAGCAAACATATGAATGATAATGAGTGTAAAAGAACAATAATATAAAAAGTCATGAATACAATGACCGGCTCCATATCCTTCCAGTGAACCAGTATGGTAGGAAGTGGCAAGACCTCAGTTGCTGCCCGTGTGCAGGATCAGCCGAGCCGATGGGGCATTGTTGTCGTCGTTGCCGCCCACATGAGCCTGGCGCTGATTGCATTTTGTCAGAGCTCTGGCAGTGTCTTCTATCTGAGCTGGAGGAGCGAATTTGACACGAACGCCAAGGAGACTGCGGCCATCTCCAGTATCATGACCTGTGTCTGCAGCTTCAGTAGTAAGTGCTTAATCAGTGTCGATCATTGTGTTTCATCATTGTGTTGAAACCATTGATGACTATTGTTCCCCGGATACATCCGGATACCGGATACATCAGATTCGAACCGGCTGGCCGCGGCAAACCAAGCAAGCTCGGTGTAAGCCTATGAATGTTTTTTTTGTTGTCTTGACCTCGGTAAGCATTGCGTTTTTACAGTGGTCATGAGATTGCATCATTGAAAGGCAAACCCTTGATTGAGTCTGTTGATTTCTCCCTGTTTTATAAATTTGTAAATAAATCGTCGGCCGTTAGTGTATGGCCTGCATAATATAACTTGACTGCCTTTTTAGTTATGTTTTCTCATGTGATATTTTGTTTCAGTGTTTGTTGGCGGTGTTATGATCCAACGCTGTGGTTGCAAGCTGGTCGGTATTATCGGGGGAGTGTTGACAACGCTTGGTATGTTAGGCAGCGTCTGGGTGCAAAACATCTCCCAGTTGTACCTCACAGCCGTTGTAACAGGTATGATAAAGATGTTTGACGAAATATAAAATAGGATGATCAAGCATTGAGCAAACGACCTTGTACCTTGTACCTTGTAGATTAAAATCCTGAACGGTCCAACAGGGACTAAACTGGAAGTTGATGATAGTGGATTGATGCCTATAATGCCTTTTTGCCATTTATTGAGCAATAAGAGCGCTTTGAAGTCAACCAGATCTATCCATCCAGCTCGGTTCACGTGTGCCAAATACAACCGAATACCAGTGTTGTAGCCCAGTCCATAATGATCTCCTGACAAGTCACCCAATCCAAATTCAACACATTAACTTAAAATGAATTGTTACAAAGGCGTTCCTTTGAAATTGCCCATCCCTTGTTACTTGTGCCGGACCCGTTATTGGACTTGGGAATCCTTGTGACCGCACTTTGTGATGGATTTACTACAACATAAACCCCTGCCACTCAATAGATCCCAGTCATGAATCCTGTGTTATCAGACGATATCCTGTGAAATAGGTTCTTGAAAACAACCTTATATTTTCGTGAGGGATGCCATTGACCATTGTAAACATGTAATGTTTCCGTCTACTCTACAGGCGTTGGTCTTGGAATGGCTAAGAACACTGCGTTGGTCGCTGTTGCTCTACACTTCAAGAACGGGTACACTACAGCCAACGCCCTGGCGTGCTCTGGCAGTGGTACAGGGAAAATGGCAGCGCCGCCATTAATCCAGATTCTCCTTGACTATTTTGGCTTAAGAGGGGCGTTGCTAGTTACCTCCGCAATTGTGGCAAACATGGTAGTATTCGGCACACTCTTTCGGAAACCTCGAACAGATCGGAAATCAGGACTGGATCACAGATCAATTGATAAACTCACAGAGAGGACAGACGTGGATTTTCAAATCGTACACGCAAATGATGCAGTTGAGATGGCTTTGGAAAGCGAAAGTTCGTCGGACGATTCAGATGCTACAATGAACCATTCGGAGACACACACAAATATAGAAGAAGGCCAATCAAATGTCTCATCTACTACTCACAATACCAGCTTCCGTGCATGGAAATTGAAACTCAATCCCATTCGGAAAATGTGGTCGGGACTGGGACTCGGCGTTTTTCGGAAGAGCTACCGCTTTAGCATGCTGTGTCTTCTAGCATTCATATCCGCGATTCCTTATTATGGAGCCGGTCTGTTCATCATTCCTCGCGCGGAGAGTATCGGCGTGGCGCTTTCTAGTGCCGCCTTTTTGCTCAGTCTGAACGGCATCGGTAGCTTGCTGGGTCGTCTTGTCAACGGGCTGCTCATTAGTTACAACTTGTCCGCTGAGATCGTCTGCTCCATCTGTGCGGCTGGGGCCGGTGCCTCAGTACTCCTCCTCAACGCTGATAACTACGTTTGTTTGTCTGTCGCTTCCTTCCTCCTGGGCCTGTTTACTGGTGTCTTTTACGCGGTTGCAATTGTCCTGATACGACGCTATGTTGGTTGCAGACGATTTTCCGTGTGTCTAGGTATCTACTATATCTGTGTTGGCCTTGGAGGACTGTTTGGACCAGTAGCGGCAGGTAATACAAGTTCCTCAGCTTAGCTATTTGAATGGGGCATAGAGGATTATCTGCTGAGGTTTATTCGCCCCAGAGAGATAGGCTTTTGACAAGGCTATCGTGACTGGGCCCAGGCATTTTGACTGACCAGCGAAGCCACGGCGAACAATTCTCATAACGATCGGATCGAGTCAGCAAGTCACGATGCCTTTTGCATTTTGTCAGAATTCCCTCCCCTTTTAAAATATAATTTTTCTACAGTTTTTGGTTGGGAAATTACGTCAACATTAAAGATGTAAGAGAGAAAGCTGAAGTCAAAATTGCCTTTCAGCTGTGACAGGTTGAGCATGCTCCCCTTCGCGCGGTAAAAACTTGGTAAAGTGCGATAATGCCTACTCGATGTGTGCAGGCCGAGTGACGCTCCAAGTGGCTGCTTTTATGCTTGCAGCATAATCTCTATACATTTAGCACTTTTCCAAACGATTTTTACAGTCATTTTGTTGGCCAGAGTATTTGGGCGATTAGTTTGATGGAAAAGCTTACAGCAGTGATTTACTACAGTCATTGCTTTTTTTTTCTCTTCACTCTCACAGGTTGGGTGTTTGATATTTCAAACAGCTACAAGACGGTGTTCTACGCGTTGGCAGGTGTTGACTTCATCTGCTGCATTCTGATGTTTCTCTTTCCTGTACTGAAGCGAGTCGAGCCAGGCATTAAGGATCATCAAACCAATGAAGTGAACTAACTGATGGAGTGCTAAAGCATAATCAATTAAGACTTTTTTATGCGAGATCTATATACATGTACCTGAAGGTCAATGTGTTTGTCAAGTCTGTCTCTAAAAATACCTCAAGACTACAGAACTGCATATTCACATTTTTGGTAAACTTGAACTGGAAAACGAAATGTAATGTGATTACGAATTGTAGTAATAGAAACAAAACGAATAACACAAGCCAACGAGAAACATCTTACTCAAATATTATTAACAAATCATTCCAACTCTGACCATTAAATGACCATTTAAGCTGGTCATACTTTAGGCATATTTCTAGAACTTTTGGAAAAAAAGTTTCAAGCGTCCTCTTAGCTTATCAGAATTCATGACATTTGAAAAAATACATTTGTAATAACGTCAACCTGTGCACAAAATACGGTTAGAGCCACCTTGGTTAGGGGGTAGGCCTATTTGTACAGTATTCTGTAATAATTATAGCGTTTATAATCGTCGGATTTGAACAGCGCCCCCATTGAAAGTATGGCACGAGCCTCCCCCCACCTATTGATTTCGAAGGCCAAGTGTCCAGAGCAAAAAAAACCTGTCTACATTTGAAAATGTTTTGCTGATGAAACCTCCCCCCCCCCTGCAAAAATTCCTGGATCCGCTCCTTGTCATAATACCTACTCAGTGAGTGGCGTGTAGATTCCTATCTGTAGAGGGACACACGCTCTGAAGTAGGGGGAGTCCTTTTTTATTAATAAAAAGCACCCGTAAATTCCTGAGGACAGGGTTGGCCACAGGTCTCGAAGGGGAGGGAAGACCCCATGCCCCGCCCCTTAGTTACACCACTGGGTTTACTCCGTCAACGAAGCTTTATTGTGTAAAACAAACAATTTAAGAAGATCTGTTAAGAAATGTAAGATTTATATTTTAATTTTTAAACGACTGGTGTAATTGGAAAGACCCATTGGTCCCAATGTAATAAGCTGGATCGATATCGATTGCGTTTTATGGTTTTCATGCTCGGCCTTGAATACAATTGTATGTACATGTTGGTACTTGCGTAGCCCGCGGGGTCAAAGGTGTCCAATCCGATTATTGGTGTTACCCGCTATATGCCGGGCCAGAAACATGGCCGGGACTTTCCCGAAAAGAACAGACGGCTGTTTATTGATGATTTATTTTATCATTTTTCTCCCTAACCAACGAAGTATGGAAATAAACGGAAACTTTGCTTTTACAAGAAAAAAAGGCGTTCACTGAAATCTGTCCTCAATTTCATCTGGTGAGAATGTTGATTTCGTCAAGTAATCAATTTGTTGAAGGCAGCAACTTGTTGTAAAAAAAGTGTAACTAATGCAGATTTGATTGACCTCTCATAATCAGAGGCTGAATTTTCAACGCATAGATTAACTTGAACTTTTCTAAGATTTCTACAAGTTAAAACCGATTAAAGTTGTGTTTGTATGCCCGAAATTTCGTGCCAGGCCATTAATTTCGTGCAAGTCAAAATTCCATTTTGCCGCAAATTTAGTCGTCACTGTTTATTATGGCTAACCTTGGAAGGTAAATTCTAGCTTTAAAGGTTTTATAAATTTGTCTTAGAAGAGAACAATCGGATTTGTGCAAGAAACAATGGTTATCATTTCTTTAATTGATTCCTTTTTGCATTTCAATATGGATTTTGGAGGGGAAGTATCGACAAGTCCAAAAATTTGCAATCGGGACCCACTTAAAATGGTCCTCAGAGAAATGTTTGACTGATTACATCTTCATGTCCAGTGGGAAGAGTTTACTTTTCACTTCTTTATTTTGATGTGTCACTCAGCGTGGCATCTTATTGCATGCAGGTATTCTGTGGGTAGAAATATTGAATGTTCCTATGGATTTACGAGGTGCATGACTTGTTATTAAAAATGTTTATTTCTCAAAGGTAGCTCTGATCTTGCTACTCGTGACGCCTTTTGTTGGATGAACGGGAGGTTTGCGGTAAAACCATGTGAATGAAAGATATCTCTAGTCTTAGTGAGGTGTGTGGTTCTGGGAAGAACCATGTTAGTTTAACTCAACGTTTCGAACAGTACTCTGCTCGTCATCAGGAGACTGTCTCCTGATCGAGACTGTCTCTGCCAGTCTCCATCAGGAGACAGTATCCTGATGACGAGCAGAGCATACTGTTCGAAACGTTGAGTTAAACCAACTGGTTTTTCTCAGAACCGTACTCACTGAGAGATATCTTTCATTCACATGGTGTTAGCGCAAGCCTCCAATTCATTGATCATGTCCACCATGCAAACCCTCCAGTCTCATTTTGTTGAGTTGGGTCACATATTTAGTGCAAACAAAAGTTCAGGATCTCATGATTAGTTCGCACATGAACTGTTCAATTTATTTTTTTTTCCAGGTAGATTTTTTTCTCACTTTGCTGGGCTGAACTGTAATCCGGTGTGGGTTTATTTAGATTAGTGTGGCCTTACTCCACACGGAGTTCATCAAACCTTTCTCATGCTCTGGTGACATGAAAAGCCCTGTCACTGACTGCCTGCATGCCTTTCAGATCTTGCCAGCTTATACTTGTGCGATCTCTTTCACAAAAGAACCCGTTTTTTTCTTCAAGTGAACAAATAGAGCCTACCGGGTAAGCGATTATGTATTATCAATGAGGCAGTCTGTCCCACCGCGATTTTTTAGAAACATTGTGTGTACCCTCCACGAGTGTGTGCTTGCTTTTGTGATTGTTTCGCTGTGTACACTGACTGCGCTACTTGACAACGGTACATTTGAGTCCGGAACTGCATGGTTCAGTGTGAACGTATGTATACGTGCGTAGCCTATATTTCTACGTTGACAACCAGGTTCGGTGATGGAAGTATTTTGGCTATTTCTGGTATAGCTGATGTTGAAGTTACGATGCCTGTGCTGTCACTGTTGTGAGTCAGTGTGGTGGGACGAATTGATTTATTGTCGGTATACACGGAAGATAGCAAGCAACTGGTCCATAGCATCAAGCCTTCAAGGTAAGTTTGTTTTAGCGTGTCCACTATCCTAGTTGGGGCCATATATCACGACGATAGTTACGGACTATATAGTGTCTCAAACTCGGATCGATTTAATATTGTGTATAGGTTGTGATAATTGCTGTGCAATTGCGTACAAATGTATCCAGAAACTTTCTCAATTTTTACTACCCACCATATTGTAATACTTCAAATCACGTTCTTCTCTTTTGGCCACAATAAATAACGTTTAATTATGGAATAATTCTTGTTACGAGCGAATTGAAGTCCATGGGGTTACGACCAAAGATAGAAATTGCATGTATGAGCTTGATTCGTGGATTTTGCCTGGAGAAAAAAAAGTACATCAAGTTTAGTCGTGAGGAAGTTCTGAAATCCTGGAATAGATAAACTTAAATCCTCTTGAAAATGAACGTTCTTCAGCCTTGCTGAGTATGTCGGAGCATGGAGGAAGGAATACATTGGCAGATTTACAACGCAGGGGGCCGGGTTGAACACTCGAAATGGTGCGGGGAGGGCTTTTTCTAGAAGGCATACAAGTGAATGTTCTTTGCACAGTCTCGTTAGTGTTTCAAATTCCATTGCTGAAACCCCAGGGACATACTGAATGCTGAAATGAAGTTAGGAATAATTCTTATGCCGATCTTTAATGCCCTGCATGTAATCAACTTTAATCCGCATAAGAATAGGATCAATTTACTTTGCCGCGTGAGTCTATTGTGTAGCCTTATATAGCGGTGCACGGTTACAGCAGTCATATAACCAGAAATATCCGTTTGCAGTAAATTTAGAAGCGGTATCAGAGTTAGAAAGTACTTTTCACTGTGTAAATTCTCGAAAAGTGCATGTAGTCCTACACTTTTAGCTCAGTTTCTAATTTATACACTTGAGAGAGAAAAAAACACTTTTTTCTTTTACTTCTCAGAAAATCCAGCATATTCTGCTATGGTTCTGTCTCATTTTGAACGGAGGTGTTTCGACTTAACGCGTAGATTATACGTGAAAATACAGACATATAATAGATTATGTGTGAAATATAATAGATTATGTGTGAAATATAATAGATTATGTGTGAAAATACTGACAGATAAATACGACCATCTTAAAAATTCATGTTGCTATTGACGGATTAATGAAGTGATATTGAAGATACCTGTATCATATTAATTTCGTATAGTGCAATATCATCTGGCCTCACAGCGAAATCCTAAAACCTGAAAACCTTTAAAAACCAGTATATAACTTGGAAGCCTACTTAATGTAGGCCTAACTATAACCCATAAAAACCAGCAATTTAAATTCTGCCATGTCATTTAAACACTCTCTAATTTTTTTAAATTCAATTTGACCTACAGTTTAGTAATGCCAAAATAACCACATTGTCAATATACCTCTGTAAAATTTTCATTACAAGTGTTCCAGAATTGAGCAGTTTGCATGACGTCTAGGCGGTCTGACTTAACAGTATGCACATTATAGCAGTCAGCTGACAACACAATTTGCATGATTTCTGCTACCAAGTGCATCCTAAAAACAATAAATGCTTATATTTTGGCACTTGGAAAACATTAAATTACAAAACTATGTTATGATTTTTAACCCTATTAAAAACATATTGATGAAAAGCGGCACTGTGAGACCTGCATCATTTTAAAAGAGGGAAGTAACTACGTACCTTATAAATTTGAAAAATCGCTTTTGAAAAACTCATAAACATAATAATTATACGACTTAATTTCGTGAAGTGATCACTGTAGTTATAATTGTGCATCTTTAAATTCATAATGTTCAGACGTCGTCTCAGAAGCATCCACCTTGTGTTTCTTTTCCTCGTCATTTTTTTCCTCATCATTTTTTTCCTCATGACCAATTTTCAATTGGCAGACATTACGCATGCGTAATGTACAACAGCGCATGCTCAATAACCCACAGATAAACATTTGTCACAAATAAGCATTGACAAACCACACTACTGAATCATGATGCGGCGTTGTCGTGTGTCCATCAAACCTCGCTGCCTTGTTCAACTGTTCCAGATCCGATATAAATAATACAACGACACGAGAAGATACACGAGACAGAATTGTGTATGTGCTTGTACAATGTCAAATCTGATTAGTGTGGGTTTGTTCTGCAAGTTTGCCCTTTGAATCTAGGTCGGTTTGGTGACAAGTGTAAACAGGGATCTTTAAACAGTGAACATACGAAAAAATAACACTCCAAAGATAAGGTCGATACTGATGCTTACCCAATGCAAACTGTACCGCGGTTCCCATTTCGTAAAGAAATATGTAATCCAAAAATGGTGGCTGACATGCACGTGTTATTGAAACTGATGTAAACACTTTTCGTTGTAACTCATTTCGCTTTGGCAGAACTAAAAATGTAGGGAGAAAAGGGATGTTTCACTAATTCTTATCACAGCAAATAAGAAATTGTTTTAATATTCTCAGGAGCTGTTTTGTTTATTTAATATCTGGAAGTGTAATTGCGATGTTAGATCTTGCGTGGATGTGGACATTGCAGTTACCAAGTACAAATACAGCTGCTTCAATGATAATATCCAAACCTGTGCAATTTAAGGTTGAGGCTAATGGGCCATTATTCGTCCGACACAGCCGCGTTCCCATTATGGCTCTGTGACGTTAACCAATGACTGATAAATCATTGTCTTTAGCCTTTGGCTTTTGGACAGTCGTACGGAGTTGTGCAATTGTACTCGCGAATGATAAAAATCATGTTAACCCATCGTTTTCTGATTAACCCAACTTTGGGTGCGACGCTTTTATAATGGGTGTCGAGTATCCCCATTAGCTGCGTCGTATCACCGCCAGTGAATTTAGCTGTATTCCCAAACGGTCGTTGCACGTGAGCACCATGCAGAGATTTCATACGGTATGATTCTAAAGTTACTCTTTTACTATTAACCTATCGCGGTAGAATCGCGTCAACGCAGCTCGTGAAATATTGTCCAATTACATGATAGATCAATGGACGCGGAACGCGCAAAATCTGAGACAAATAAAAACTTAACGTACAAAACTCCATAGGGTTGTCTGAGGCGCGTGGCTAAATCGCAAACGCCGATAGGTCAATTATGTTGATGTTACAATTATATGCACGAGTTCTATAAAATCGTGAGTCGCTGTCATACATGCATCACGCAAATAACGAGCTGACTTGCTGACTTGGTTCTAATTGCACAGTTCGTGCGCGCAGGCTATATGAAACGTCCTTATTTTGATGTTGGAAAGGTAAGGTTGCACCTTTGCAAAATTGTAGTTGTTCACACACGTTTCTATTTCAAAGACTCGACATATATGACGATTTGCATCTAAGTTTATGTTAATATTTTGGTAGATTGATGTTCTTTTGGCCTTGTTGGTATTATTGTGCCCTGGCAGCAATTCATTTCAGTTATGATCTTTTCAATATAGGGTTTGCCCTTCACCGTGTATTTTTTTTTATAAACACTGTATACTCGGTGTTGCCCCCGACTGAATAAATTTTCTCACAATCACTCAAGGGAAGACTAGGTACAGTGTTTAGAAAAAAAATCGGTGAAGTGCAAAACCTCTATTGAATTTACATCACCCCGACGTAAATTCCATCTTATAAATAATTACGATCTTTTGTTTTAATTGTGTCCAATACGGGGAAATAATGAGAGTTGTCCTTATTGCACTGAGGACTGTTACCGTACGGTATCCTGTCGTCTGGTTAAGCACAAGTGGTCTAGCGGTAGAGCACAGGATTCATGATTGTGAGGTTGTGGGTTCGAGCCCTGCCGTGGCCATGCGTGTTGTGCCCTTGAGTATTAAAGGCGCGTTACCTCAATTACTCCTCTCAGCCCAGGTGTTAAATGGGTACCGGCATTATTCAATGCTGGGAAGGTAACAGACTCGCTGTGGAGGAGGTGTGGCGATCCCCCCCCACAGCAGCATATGAGTCTGGCCCAGTCGCTAAAGAAGGAGAGATGAGCACTCCGTTCCTGTGAACACAGGTTCGTCCCTTTTATTGGAAATATTGTCAGATGCATGGGTACTCAAGACTGAAAGAACGCACACCTTTTTAGTGATCCGTGGACAGAACTTTAAAACGGTGGTTGAGTTTAAAACTCCGTAACTTAAAAAGTACATGAGTGATGTGAATGATTCTTGTACTAAAAGAAAGCTTATGAATTGGGCTTCATATCCTAGATTTTAAAGGTGCTACATGCAGAACTTTACTAAAATAATGGTCCCGACATTTGGGTTTCTTTTTTTACTCACCCTGTATAAAACCTTTAAAAATAGCTAATTGTAAACCGAATGACGCACCCTAATAAAAACATTATCATAATAATTATGTAAAGGCTGTGTCATAGGTATGCTAAGCCTACAGCCTCAGTTAATTAAGACTGTTATGTGTAATTGTTTAAAGACATTAATACCCCTATGCCATTCCCATCTTCAATTGCGTTTTAGTCCTTTAATTAGCCGAGGATCATCTTGTTATTGGGATTGTCGAACCGAAATGTTTGTCATATTATCTATCTGACTCGATGTTCTCCAATATTCCCAATTCAACACTCACACCCAATAGCTACAATCCTGTACACGACTCCTGCCAAAAGTCACTGATACTTTAATAGGCGCAGTGGCTGGCAACGGCAATTCAATTGCCCATCCTCAATGCTGTTTCGCTTTTGTTGCAGTGAATTTGAATCATTGTCCGCTTCCGCGGTAAAATCGATAATACTATATAGAAGCTTTGTATCGCGTGTATCGGCATGTGAGGTCGATCAGAGTGCTGTACGCTGTGCACCTTGTCGGTGATATGTGGACGTTCACGCACCTGTGAAAGAAATGGTGTGTCGAAACAGTCGATGGATATTACATATACCCTTGAAGACAAACTGTAACCACCAGTGCATTATATGAACTATCAATTCACAGGTAAGGATGATGAAATTGTGGTGAACTATTGGGGTTACACTCGATTGGGCATCCGCAATACTTGCGCGGTGTAGGCCTACTCCAAACGGAGGAGCTCTACAGTATGGTTGTAAAGAAAATTGTGTGGTTGTAAAATTGATTAAAAGTGTCACAGAAATGTGTAGTTTTGTCACTGCCAAGCGGAGAATGCAAACGATTGTAATTAGCCTACCGAACAACATAAACATTATTGTTTGCCCATTTTGTTCAAGTCACGAAGACGTTTCGTTGTGTGCGAAGATTCTCTGATACATTTTGGGGCTTAAGTTGTCTAGCGAAACAAAGCTCACTTTTACAACACCATCCGTTCGATATTTGCTTTCTGGATGATTTCACATCAAATTGATGTGGTATTTCATTGTGTGGAAGGCTTTTGTTGAAGTATTTTTTTGACCTAAATACTGTAGTGCCTTTGTTCTCCCATAGTTGTTGAAAGTGTAGTTACGTGTATAACTTCATGGTAGCGTATATGAATATTGCCAAGCAGAATAAAATTGTCACTATTTTTGCTTTGATGTGATATACTGATACCAGAAACTTAAATAGGTTGGCGTAAGACGAATAGTAAATTCTTTGTTTTGTTTTACTTGAATTCTTGAGATGAGTTCAAGTTTCCAAAATTTGAGCTCTAGTTTCCAACATTTGGGTTCTAGTTTCCAACATTAGGTATTGCATACTGTGTGTGTTTCCATTTGGAAGATAGAGGTTTTTTTTGGGGGGGGGGGGGGGATTAATATCGTAACTTAATAGTGTGCATGGTTTGTTGATATTTTCTGAGTAAATTTAATATTAAATGAATTAAAGTGTTGGGTTGATACGGTGATTACATCGATGGACGTCACATCTATTACAGCCCTTTCATGATTTTCATGTAGCTATGATTTTGACTGCAAGTACAACTTGGCACAGAATGTATGTTTGCATAGGAAGGTTAATACTTTTCTATTCCTACATCCATGCTCATACACACTAGTATTGAGAGTCCCAAATGTTCAGACTAGGTCAAATCATAAGGGCTGGAAGACTAATATCTCATTATTTCATATATTTAAAAATAATAGCCGGTTGTCAGTATAGAAAGCTGCTCTTTAAATTAAACGAAGGGGAGGCGTTGGTATCGTCTACCCGTGCTTTCGCTTGTTCCTTTTCTATGAAACTAGGTTGCTTTATTATTTGTTTCCATGTTATGATCTGTGTAAATAGCAACAGGTGTAAATGAACGGATTCTGAGTTTCTGTCCTGGTGGTGACCTTCCATAAAAGTTGCTCCTTGGTGCGTATAATTCGTCGCCTCGTTGATCCCGGAACTAAAGTAATCTATATCCCTCAGCATTTAGACAGCTCGTATCAGGTGTATCCGTATTTGACTAAGAATTATTGAATTACATATAGGGGGTATCATCTCTAATAAGAGCATTCAGTCAGTTTGCTGTCTTCAGTTGCGCTGGCAAATTGGAGTCTTTGAGATCGTAAGTACACGCCAAAAATTCATCATCTTAAATTCTATTAACCGTCTATAAACTTTGCGGTTGATCAAATGTTCCATTAATATTATTTCCTAAGATTAAAATGGGTCACTGTATTTGAGTGAAAAGTCACTCTATCCGACGAAAACTAGGAGAAAGACGAGTGAATTTTTGTTCCAATTGAAAATATCGAGTTTTCACTCCAGTTCGGCTGAAGTGGTTCTTTTCGTAAAGTATTTTCTGCCGTAAATTTAGAGTAACATTTACTCTAAACAGTCAGGATTTTTAAGCTCTGGCAGGAGCTTCTACATGTCACTTGGTGGTCGGTCTGTCTGTCTGTCCGTCTGTCGGGCTGTCGGGCTGTCTATCTGTCTGTCCTGAAAAATGACTATGGTGTTCCATAATTATGTAACATCGGCGTCGCATTCTTAAGCTTTGGCAGGAATCATTTTGATTGATTTCATGCAAGACTTCTCGCAACGTCAGCTTCGCTTGAGTCTAACACGGCCAGAGCTTATTGTGCACTCGCACTTGATTGTTAAACAACAGACTCTGGTTCTTTTGGGAACCTCCATTCTTTTATCCAAATAATTGTCTCGACTATTAAAGCAATAGAGTTGGATTTGAACCACGACCTCCAACATGTATAGACATTTACACCATGCAGCAGATTTTGAAATTCGAGTCTCTCCCGAGTACAGTTTGAGAAGGTTTTTCCCTTTAAAGCCCAAAAAAGGAAATGGACAGCATATTTTTTTACATTACGTCAATGAGGGATAACAATTTAATTTAAAAACAAAATCTAATTGTGTTTGTAGTACGCATATGCTCGGTCCTGAACAGTTTGCTAAGAAATGTCGTCATCTTCACCTCTTTCTGGTCACGTGATCGATATGCTGATAGATGATGATGATTGACGGCCCTCCATGATGATACCGCAATCAGATATCTATGTGCAGTTGCGTATATCCGTGTCGGCGAGTGGGGGATGAGGGGGGGGGGGGTTGACCAAAATTCCCCGGCCGTGGACATTTGAAAATCGGGGAAGGGGGAGGGAAACTCGATGAAAACAGGGAGCGCTGTTCTTGATACAAATGATCATCTAATGCAAATTTCCGCGCATACCTCCTTAAACTTTACATCAAACGGTGCTTTTGTACTGTTTGTCCTCCGTTTTTAATAATTTTGACTTTTGAAAAGTTACAAGATAACCTCAACATCTGTTGTTTTTTGTTTCTCGCCACAAAATTCTGAGGGAGAGGGATGATCCAGTGGCCCACCCCTGGGGGGTATATCCTCTCCATCCCACTGGGTTTACGCACATTATACTATATAGGCCTATGTCTGAGTGTGGAATGCCAGTTAGCCTATACATATAAATTTGAAAAATGTACCGAATTCAGGAACCCTGGACTTCGCCATTGTTTAGTCCTCATAAACGTCAGATCTAATCATGTTGGTTTGACGGAGCTGTTTGATTTGGCAAACATCCCTCTTTTGTGTTTCTCTCGTAATTCACAAATTGAGTGTTTGATGAACCCCCGGCCTAGTTTCTGTAGATATCTCGTATACAGGCCTACATTTATGTTCTTAGTTTACGTGAATTGAATAGGCCGAGGAATGCAAACACATTAGTCATGCGTCCCCCAGTAAAGAAAATCTCCCCGGATTGACAAGGCGACTTCTGTCTGCTTATCTCCAAATTATAAATGTACAAGAGAACAAAAGCGACCTAGAAATGACTGACCGTTATGATAGATTGTTTATCGGAATTGATAAATTCCATGTTTTTGCGCAACCAGGGTCGTTTTTAAGCGCATGTACTTTGCCAAATCTCGTCGACTCGTCACAAGAACTTCGTCCTGATTTTTGCCTACCCTGCCCTTCTTGCCGAAACTTTGTTTGAAAAGCGGACAAACAGCTACAATTTGTTCAGAGGTAAACGCCGCACTTCCGTCAATTCCTTGCCAGAGCTTTGTACGATCACTCTGCCTTTCCCGTCGGAGTTCACCTCCAGCCTCGCAGTTGTAGCAGATTGAGATTTGATTGATGGAATCATTTTAATACTTTGTGAAGTCACTCAGCAGGGACTCGGGTTCAGCATTTCTGGACTAGGACATTATAGGAAGAGGTAACAGAAGGCCATTATACCTTACGGATTTATAGTCGCATCCAAATGCAACGGTTGTCGAATGTGACGACGATGAGAGTTGTTGATGAGCGAGGAAAAGTAGACACCGAGTTGAAAACTAATCACGATATTAACGACGAAGGCGGTGTTTAAGCCGGTGACACCGGGGGCACGATAGAGGGCATTCGATGCAACAAGATACAATGTAGTTGATGAAGACACAACGACGAGAATTAATTTAGACGATCAAATGTAATCTGGGATGTCACGCCTATCGGCTGTTGCAGGAAAAACAGACCGAAGCGTCTCTCTTGCGATTTACCCATTATCTCATACTTACACCTACCCATATTTCAAGTGTGAGGGGGTATGTGGCCAAGTGGTTAGGGTTCATGAATCATGATCAGAGGGTCAGGGGTTCGAATCAAGCTGCTGGCCATATGTTGTGTCCTTGGGCAAGCCACGTACTTCACCCCCACTTGCCACTCTCTACCAGGAGTATTGATGGGTACCGGTGTCATATGAAAATCGGACTCGTATGAAAATCGGACTCTTTTTCCCTTTTATTGGTTAAACCCTCTCACGTGACCGGTCCCTCTCCTAATAATCTATGCATGAGCATGCGCAATACCACCAATGAGTCCGTATTTCATAAAACCTAAATTTATGCTACACCGGCATTAGCTGGGGAGTAACCTGCGAAGGACTAGCATCCCATCCAGGGAGGAATAGAAATATTCCCAGTCGTTTCATGCCAAAGAAACCGGAAATAAACGCCGGCCTGATGGGCCATATTGGCTCGTGGTAAACTGTACTTTAAAAAAAAACACACGATATTTCAAGTGTAATTTTTCTCCTTGCAAAGCTTCAAATCGTTTCAACTTGTGACATGGTTTAGCTTTGAATGGTTGTGCTCGTCATAGCTAAAGATATGATTAATCTTATGAACATTTTGAGCGATATGACCCTTTTCTTCTCTATGTAAATTGCAGCAGCGATCCGTTGGTAGAATGGAAGCGGCAGACCGGGCCGCGTCCCTGCTGGTGTTCCACAGGGATCGTCTCAACAAGCTCCGGAACGGCATCTCGCGCGTCCTGGATGCCTTCGCCGATGTGCTGGACGACAAAGGAGGAATTTCCGGTAACGAGCATGCCGAGGTTAAAAAGAAACTTCAAGAAATTGTAAGGCATCCACTATTTAAAATCTGTGCTATCAGTTTCACAAACTGTTCTAGTTATTTCAAGCAGAAGAATGGAACGTTTGCATGGTTGGGAAAACAGCTAGGTAGAAGTTTGCGGAGACACCATGTGAAATAAATCTCTTTTGTGAGTTTGTGATGGTTCCTCTCACAACCGGTTCTTCTCAGAACCATCACAAACTCGCAAAAGAGATTAACTTCACCTGGTGTTTCCGCAAACTTACTTTGTTGTTATTTCAATCAGTTTGTTGTTACGTATATGAAACAATAGTGGTGTTGTCTTATATTGTGAAGTTTGCAGACGTTTTTACAAATTTATCAAATGAAAACTTTAAAGTAGTCACTTTAAAGTTTCAATATAGGAATTAATTTTTATAATCAAGGCGTTAAATTGGCAATTGCATGATCTAATCTGAACTGTACATTCTTCCCAAACTATTTCCCCCTTCGTTAAATTCTGTGCGGCTACGTCAATGTGAAAAAAAATACCGAATTGATGTGTACCGCTTTTACTGAAGCAAAATATTGAACAGTTTTCTTTAAACCCCTTATGTGTATAAAACATTGCTCTTGTAGTTGAAGTTACGAAAGCTTTTGCAAGGTTTTGCCTGTAACAGGTATAATTGCTACGATTGAAATCTACTTGTATCTGCCTTGACAACTCGGTTGCCAATCACTGTCTTGAGAAATATGTAACCGTATACTTCGCTTTCTTGGGCTGTTAGGAGGACACTTCTTGGAGCCGCATCCGCGAGCATTTCTTGGACAGCCACGAACCGTCTGACGAACCGTCTGACGAACCTCGGGAAGGGCGGAACATTGCCAGAATCCTCCTGGACTTTACGGACAAATTGGATGATGTGAAGGATGCGCTTGACGACAGACTACGGGTGAGTAACTGCAGTCACAGAGTTTTAGTCTCATGACGACGAGCACGCCATACTGCTTGAAACGTTGACATTGTGCAGCTTCCTCCAAGAACCTAAAATCTTTCACAAAAGATTCTTTGGCACTAACCTATTACGTACCGCACAAACCTACGGACTTATCCTTGCTCGATAGAAGAAAATGAAATCCCCCCCCCCCACAAAAAGGTCTCAGGGAATCTGTGTCGTATAACCAGGGTTTATGAGGGGCACCTGTGGATGCACAGATTTTTTTTTTTTTTGGGGGGGGGCACTGAAGGCAAATTATGCATATATTCTTTTGTTCAATTCTTAAATGGGGAGGGGGACATCCGGGGGCACGGACATCCCCTGGGAGAACGTGCCCCCTCCCCCTCCCCCATGCCCCTCGTGGTTATTCCTCTGCTCAGGAATGAGGTGGAATTGGGTATCTTTACAAACACTTTCAACATCCATCAATCATTAATAGTAAAAAAAAAAAAAATTCACCAAACGAACGTGCAATCCTATTTGTCCCGTGACTTGTGAGGCGAAAACGATCGATACCAAACTCAATTGACCGAAAGAACCCATTGGCAGTTTTACATTGAATCGCAGTTGGATAGTGTAAGAAGGAGGACTTGGAGAAGAAAAAGTCTTAAAGGCATTCAACAGGAGGTTGCAGTAGTTCTGTTGTCGATGGCTGGAAGACTGTAATTCTAACCGCTTGCGTCATTTTTTGATTACAATCAAACGACATCCCACCGCCATAATTCGGCCATTTGTGCCGCACGCTGATTGGCTACACGATTGCGATTGGTTTCCGCCCGTCAGAAACACTTCGCAGAAGTTGAAATGTTTCTACTCTTGCGACTGTTGATTATTTTGAGCGCCGACCGATGCCGATCGTCTTCATATTGTCGCTGTTACATTCAGTTAGCAAAAAAAAAATCAGCGACTAGTTTGTTTCCGATTGTCGTAGCTCAGGCGAAGATTCAGATACTGAAAAGTCAGTCGCCGACTGATCTGTGTCATCGCGAGATCGACCAGAGGGCAGATTACAATCATCTGTCACTTTGCGGTCTATAACATCTGTTTCATGCACTTGTTGCCGTGTCATACACTATTGATGAGTTACATGTATGTGCCAATCAATAAATGTATTGCGGTTAACCAGCTGTTCTGTTTAGTCACATCATGCTGTTATGTTTAGTATTAAATTGAATGAGGATTGAATGAGGTTGCCAATCATTTAATGTATTGCGGTTCACCAGCTGTTCTATTTAGTCACATCCTGCTGTTATGTTTAGTATTGAATTGAATGAGGATTGAATGAGAAGTGTAATAGTGTCAAACGCACGTATAGAGCGACATATGGAAAAGGTGAAATTTGGATACATTAGTATTGATTGGCACACGATTCGTCCTTTGTCAACATTGATTGACATTTTCTCGGCCTCTAAATTGGATATTTAAGACCATTGATGATGGCTTTTTGTCCTTTACATGTACATGTATACAATGTGGAAATAGGTTTCGATCGGATAAGACCAATGCATCTCCAAATCGGGGCATCTGCATTTTGTTGTATAATCGTATCGGTAAACGCACTGATATAATCAGGGTTGGAGCGGTATGGCCGTGAAATACTCATATTCATGCGCTTAATTGTTCAGCCTCGGCCAGTTTATATCACCGCTGGCTGCCGTACGATATATTTCATGTTGTGGAGCATCATATTCTCTTCTCGTGTTTTTTTAGAGTTATGTCTTATATTTAACTGTGTTCTTTTTCTTATTAAGGAATTAGCCCAGAAGAAGGAATCGAAACTCCAGCTGGATGTAAAAGATTTACAGAGTACGTTTATCAAATATCACTTAATTAATCGTTTTCTTCAATAGTTGTTTTTTTTCATCTTCAGCGACCTTAAATAAAACAAAAATACAACAAAAACAAAATTGAATTTACTTCTCGATGCAAATTATTATCATAATGTGCTATTTTCTTTACTCGAAATGGTTGTAAACACCACCATTTATGTGCTTAACTATTCTACGAAAAGTGGGAATGTTAAAAAAAAAGGTCATAAAAGACAACAGCAAACTCTTCTTGTCGCATTGGGATTAAATAGCTGTAACATGTTGCACTTTACAACTGCATAATGCGTTAATATTTCTTTTTTTACATGATTTGGCCTCAAAATCTATGGTCGGGGTTTTGTGCTCCTTTAACTATTTTCGTATTATTTCCAGACTTGCTGATCACATTCAGGAAAATAATGAGTGTAATATGTATTTTGTTTGTTTTCAACAGAAAAGTTAGCGGAGGAGAAGACAAAGACTGCCGACCTGCGATGGAAACACCAGGAGCTTGCCGAGTCGTCTAGCTCCGAGAAACACTTCAAAGGAGTGCTGCAACAGCAGCTGAAGGAAAAACAAGACATCATAGCTCAGTAAGTACTGTGAGCTCAGAGTAGGTGTGTATAGGAATTTCGCTGCGGCTTAGAAACTGCTGATCCCAAAGCACGGCCAAAGACCCAGGAAGGTTTTTGGAAACTTGCAGCAAATCCTCAGATATTTATTTTTTAAATTTCACCATTCACGATTACTTCACCATTTTTCTTTATCTTCAGAGACAAAATTCAGAGTTTAGAGTTTTCTATTCATAGTTTCAATTGTCTTTAACCACATGTAAAGACTCAAATAGAGTGCCTGCCTAAAGTTCGTATATATACAGCCGTCATAACTGTCTGGTAAATATCTTGATAACTCCTTCCTCGGACAGGTTACAAAGAAATGGAACAGTCCAGCTCTGGGAGAAAGAGAAGGCCAAGCTGCTGGAGGGCAGCAGACAGCGAGAGGAGAACCTCACGCGAGAATTGACGCAGCTACGGGCAGCTCACGAGGATATGAAAGACCGCCTCAATCGACGAATCAAAGTTAGTCAACTTTGGTTGGCAATTGGAAAAATTTACTTTACTAACTAAATGCTTTCAACAGTATCGATACTGTACTGGTTTTTCTTGCTTTCACTTCGCGCGCAGTTATAGTTGGCCCTATTCTTTTTTGTAAGTCATAGTAAATTGTATTGTTTTTATTTAATTTAATACCGCGCCGCAGACGAGACTTGTAATATGTTTCTTTGTAATTGTTTTTGTAATAAAAGTATTTTTGTCAATCTTGTTTAAAGGACCTTGAGGAGAAAGTAAGATTAGAACGAATGAAGGACATCGTCAGCAAACTTGCTTCGAAGGACGGTACGAATTGTAAAGTTTCACATTTTGAAATTTCTTCAAGTAGGATTAAATCACTGCATCACTTTAAATTTGCATGACTAAGAATCGTTAGTGTTGACCCTTCAAAAGTCTGAAGGGATTTGTAATATACACAATTTGAAAGGTTTTAAAACAATTTTGACTTGACAATATGCATCAGAATTAAATAACTATTTCGGATCTCATTTAAAGGGAATATACATCATTTGCTTTTGCTGTCATTTTCAGAAATGGATGGAATTGGGGGGTCGGAAATATATAGCAAATATAGTTACACTGACTTTTTTGAGGTTTTGGGTTCGAAAATGCTATAAAAACCAAGAAAAACAATACTTTTCCTGTAGTCTGGTTCCCTGACTCCATTTAAGAAGAAACAGAGCAGTTTACATATATTGGGGAATTGTTATGTCAGGGAACCAGTCTAGCTGGCTTGTACCCGTTCATAGGTGTGTAATCGATTGCAAACAAGTGCGATGGTCAACTGGGGCCAGTATTTGAAAAAAAGCCAGTTTTTTCCAACGCTGATCGGCCGATCAGCGTTGGAAATTGATACAAAAATACCACTTTTCTTGAAAATGACAGTACACCAGGTGCCATGATTTTACAGGATGCTTTACACTGTCATTCACTAACAGTCCAGCAAGGTATTTCAAAATGATTTGGTAGTTTTATTTTTTGATGTTTGCAAATGTTGTATTTTCCCTTTAATTTGTCTATTTTTTTTCAGAGATGGAAGCCGATGTAGAATCTCTGAAACGACAGCTTTACACCAAGGAAGTCGACCTGGCTAGGTTGGACCAGGAACTGATCAATCAACAGAGGCTCATTGTGGGGTGCATCAAAGGAATTCAGAGGGACTTTAGGTTAGTGTACATACGTAGTGGTTTCCAACTTTACAAATGTTCGCCAAGTTTTCAGTAAAGCATGCATGGGAAAAACCTAGTAGATCAATAATGTTGCACACAAACTAACAAGGGTTATGCGGGTCCGTTGCATTTGTTTTAGTTCAGGCTGAAATCCATTTAGTACAAGTCCATCCTGAGAATAATCAGAACTCAGGCCACGGGTAACGCCGGATACATTTGGAGTAGCTGAAGTTTCTCGCTGTTCATTTGAATAGCTCTTGCCCTTAACGTGAGCGTGGGTGAATTGTGATTGACTGCAGTTCTTGACTTTTTTTTCCAGATTTCCTTCTGTAGTTTTTTTTCCCAGTCTTTCTGTATAAGTCGCTATTCTAAGAACTCTGAGCAGAAATGTTTGCACTTGTAATATTTATTCAACACATTATTCCTAATCCACAGACATTGACGTTCACAATAAATAATGTCATCCCGTCCCCCAAAGAAACTAAATACATTTTGCTCTTGATCTGTGCTTCGTTTGTGTTCAATTTGTCAATGACATTCCAGCTCAAATCGTTTTATTGTTTTTCGATTTTGTGATTAAAGACTCATTTGTTGATTTGTTCAGGGTGATGGGAGAGAGGCAGGAAGGACGGAGACTGAGGAAGGATGACATGCAGAAGATGAACTTGATACTGGACGCCATCTTGACAGGGGCTAAAGAGGCACGGTTAGACATCACCAAAGCAGACCTGCCCCTTCATTACATTGCTCTTCCAGAGGTAAAAGCTGCGTGATTTTGCTAGACAAATGTAGGCGGTGTATAACCAAACAACTTTGAGCAACTTTCATTGCGAACTATATAATAGACTAACTTCTGTCGAACTAAAGCTAGTCAACCGTAGTTCGACTATTATGGTCGAACATTCAGTACTGGCCTGCCGAGGCCAGTGGCATCGCTGGTTAATGATGTCATAATGTGACATGATGTCGTTTAAACAAACAACGCTCGCACGTTTCTGTTGGTGCGCATGCCTAGATCTTGGCATGAAAATCTTCCTGTTTAAGCAGGAATTCCTGTTTTTTGTTGCTCAAATTTCCGCGTTTTTATTTACTTCGAGCCTATTTTTTTTTTTTGGGGGGGCCTTTTTATGGCCTGATTTTACGTCTTTTTCCGTTCTTTTTCACAAGTTTCCTGCTTTTTTTTTACATTGAAATTCATTCTCATGCCTGGTAGATCACGAATCAAACACTAGTCGACGAAAAAGTCCTCGATCGAAACGCCCCATACAGACAAGACATTGAAACCACTAAGAGATAAACAAGGCCTATGAATGTACTGTGGAGTTTCGCTGTAGCTTTAAAAATGTAATTGAATGAACAATTTTATCTTTTTTGGCAGGATATCGTGGCACATCCAGTCAAACGAATGACAAGGCCGAGGTAAGTGTTCAAAAATGTGTTAAAAAGCCTGTTTAATTCCTTTTTAATTAATATACATACATCTGTTTTCAACTTTTTATTTTGTTCGGGCGATCTAATGTAATGGTATTTTCTTTAAATTAATGTCCAAGCATACTTGCTCCTGTCGTCAATCGCCATCTTGAAACAATAGGAGATTCCCCCAGTACGTCACCAACCTCCAGTCCCCCGGATAGCCCCTCCCAACCCCAACGTCGCGTCCCGTCCCTTGAGCTCCCCCACCCGAGCTCCAGCCCTGCCCTATCATCCCTGGGCCGGGCCTCGACGGTGCCGCTCATCGAGACCCCGCCAATAAACGGACAGGCATCAGCAACGGGAGCAGCCAACAGGAGGGCGCCGTCCGGCAGGGCCAAGATCTCTGTAGATGAGGTCGGTCTCATCACCAAGTCCCCGCGTGGTGGCTCCCAGAAAGCCCCGAACCCTAACACGAACACCTCCGCACGTAGCCCGAACCCCGCCCGAAAGCTCCGAACCACTTCGGTCTCGGAGTCCTCGCGGAGTCCGTCGTTACGACGGCGGGCAGTATCATCGCCCGTGCCACCAGACCTGGCCGCCCTTGTCAAACCTCCTGCTTCCCTGAGTCCCAGGGAAACGTCCGGGTCCACACTCGTCCCTCGTCAGCCGTCAAGGAGTCCGAGTCCCGGAGGACGGAACGGCATGGCGTCTGCGAGGAAACCACGGGGGTCGGGTAAGCTTCAGGCCAGTAACGGGAACAAGGACATCTCTAAGGAAAATGACAACCCTGCCCAAGACAGCAAGCCCAAGCCGAAGAGTACCCTGACTGGGCATGGGGAATTAAATCTCGAGAAAGGTATCCGACTAAGCTTCCACTTTTTTGTTTAGATTTCAGTGTTTCTAATTGCTCATATATTTACTCTCTCGATTGCAGTGTGTTTAAAAAAAAATCAGCAGCCGCATTAAAAAATGCAATTCATCCTTAACACCGCTTAATATTGATGTTATTGTTCAGTGGATTTGTTGGTTTTCATAACATACATTGTATTGTATTGCTCGTTGCTTGTTTGAGGCACAACTTTTTTTTAAATTTGCGATCTTTTGCTATGAGCAGTACAATTAGATACATGTACTTTCAAAAAAATATCCACCAAAACAAAAAACAAATCACTGACAGAACCGTGCCATTTCAAAGATCACATTCATGGGTTTGGGCCCTATCGCTCAGCATGAAATAACATAAAGGGCATATGTTGAAATAATTGGTTTCGTGTCTGAAGTGACATGACTGTCTTTACCAAAAATATATCAATTGAATTTAACCGCAGCTGTTTGTACATTCCAATTGATAGGACAAATAGACAGAAGCCATGTCTCATTTTATTCCATCTGGTTACGCTATCCTCGCTTTCATGATCGCAGTTCTCCGATACTTCCACATACTGCAGTATGGTCGTTTGATTCCATAACTCCTCGGAAATACCAATTTAAATATTCATTGGGAAACCTGATTTGATTATAGTGCCACTTGCCTCCGTTTGCTGAGTGCAGCATTGTATCATATTCACATCGGTGACCCTAACATATTTACTGGGATGATACGATTGTAGTTTATGCATCGCAATGGCAAGCAGTGCGGTAAATCTGAAATACTCTTATGTGTACATGTTTGTGTGTATACTGCATCGCTTGAAAGCAGCTATAATGGTTATAAAGATCTAAGCTTATGTTTTACTTTCAAGTTTTGAAAAGCACATACAAATTCTGGGTTCTTAACACAAAAAGTGATTTGTTTTATCATTGCAAACTTGGCTGTTGGTTGCGATGACGATCAGCAGGTGTTAAACATTTTCGCCAGACAAATTGTATTGGCGATGTAGTATTATTTATAGTACAACCTTACCCTTAAAGGGAAGTACAAATACACGGACGTGTTTCCCTCAAAAGTAATGATTACATTTGCTATGCAACCGTGTACTATGTCCAGAGCAAATTGCTTTTTGACAAATGAGCCTTTCCATCAGATGAAATTACAGCGTGTTGACAAATGATGAAGATATATTTTTTTTCAGAACGGCAAGATTGACTCGAAATGTAGTGCTAAACGTTGGTTGCTTTGCTTATTGTCATCAATGCGCATGAACGGTGCATGTCTAGCAAAGTGTGTTTTTGTAATGTTTTTATGTGATGTCTAACATTTAAAATGTGTGCAACATCATCTTTGTTTTCTCATTGCTCGTGCTCTATGGTGAGCTTATTTATTGTTGCTTGCTATTTTATGTTTTTAATGTTACCTCTCCCCATGTGGCTTTTGTGGTGTCGTTGCTGCGTACTCACGTCAATTTGAAAAAAAAAACCGCAGGAAAACAGCGAGGGACCCCTTTCAGCTTGAATGCCGCACATTTTTTCAGGAAAGGTTTGGCGCTTTGTTTTATCATCCAAAGTTGTGGTCGTGTCACATGTCAATTACAAGTGACAGTCTCAAGTCAGGTGACAAGATATTCGAGTGAACTGTGGCATAAACATTAATTTTCTGTTACCTCCAGCCAGACTTGTGATTCAAAAATGTTGCTGACTTGTGATTGACTTGCGATTGGCTTGTGATTAACTTGAAACTAAACTTGTAACTGACTTGTGATTGACTTGTTAGTGCCTTGTGATTGACTTGTCATGACCTGATATTTACTTGTTGGTGACTCGATGACACTTTTGGCTATTTTGCAACTGTAATATAAATTCAATAGCATTTCAAGCATGAAAGCAATATAGGTTCCATGAAGTGTTTCTAATCAACAACATGCAAGCAATATGATGCTATGAAAAGACCCCCGACTTTATTGTTTTTCGACATTAATAAAGGCATATTAGCGACTCTACATAGCAGTATTCTGACTAGTTTGTGCTCATTTGAAAGAAAACACTGAAGTCTTGATTTCGGTACAAATACATGATTACATGTTGAATATCGTCCATTTCATATAATCATTAAAACTTGAGTGCTCTCTTTTGTTGAGATGATTAGAAAAAGTCCTCACTTCATAAAATGGTTAACCAATGAGAGCCTCGGGTTTAATGCTAACTTGAAATTCCTCTATTGACTGCAGTTAAAAGCATGTTCCTTATATTCAACAGACCATCCAGCACTAATCGACAAAGAGACGGGGATGCTGGACGCCGCGACAGCACGCACCTGCTTCCCACACATCTCGGAAGAGCAGGTAAAAGGGCCAGAAATCGTGAGAAATTCTGTCTGTTAAAGATGCACTGCCGATATCTTTGCATTGCGAAGCGGTGCTGTGGTTTTCATAAATGAGTTGTTGACAGATTATCTTTAAAAATGTCCATGCACTGTTTACGATAGGAAGAGGTTCTCTGAGTGCAGGAATTCAAATTTTTCAGGCTTAGTTTTTCAAACATACAAAACATAAATAGTATACAGCAGATTGGTGATTCGATTGTGTTCAGTTTGATGATAAAAGCATGAAATTAGGCACACATTCAGAGTATGTCATGGGAAACATATTTGGCTAAAGGGCCATCGCAAGCAATTTCCAAAATTTTCAAAATGGCGGCCAATGCATGTTATTCTATGATATCTTTTTTCAAAGGACAAATCTGCGATGGCCCTATGGCAAAATATATTTTCCATGACATATTCCGACTGTGTGCCAAATTTTATGCTTTTATCATCAAATGAACAATTTTATCATATTGTGCACCAATCTGCCTGACTGAAACGCATGATTACATCTAAAGTGTGAGGCTTAATGCCATTTCTTTTGAATATGTATGCCCCGTAATTATAAATGATCACCGTTTTCAACATTTTGATTGGAACCAGTTTCGTTTTATACAATATTTTCATGCAACACGATTCCGTATTAACTAGTGTTGGTACAGAGATAAATCAGTCGTCAATTACGATAATATCTCTTTTATTTCTCCAAGATACGGGAACACTACCAGCAGTTCAAGAAGTACGACACGAATGGAGACTACAGTCTTGATTTTATGGAGATGACACAGGCGATCCAGTCTACGGTAGCCGATTACTACAAGCCAAGACAAATTAAGGTAAACTTTGCTAACGTTTAAAGGAAGGCTTAAACTTATACAGGGTGAGTAAAAAAGGAAACCCTAATGGCAGGACCTATTTGACAATGAAGTTCTGCATGTAGCACTTTCAAAATCTGGGATATGAAAGCCCAATAAATAAGATTTCTTTTATAGTACACTAATCATTCAAATCGCTCATGTACTTTTTAAGTTACGAAATTTTAAACGCAAACACCGTTTTAAAGTTCTGTCCAGGGATAACAAAAAAGGTAACTGTTCTTTCAGCAAAACGAAAACGGTTCACATAGGGATGTATGTGACAATCTGATGCACTGATATCACTTACTGAGCAAATCCCATTGGAATTGGTGAAACCCCATAGCCTTTTACAATCTATTATATCTCTGGTTTGCATGAACGAATTTCCATGGCATTTTCACTGATTATACACAAGAGTATAATTAATATGCTCCATCAAGATGGAATACTCATGTTAAGTTGTTTTTGAGAAATTAAAGGATATCTGCTTGCACAACTTTGTTTGAGACACCCTGAATATTATTTAAAAAAACAGCAGTGGGCAACTGGTGAATTATGTACGGTAATAAGTTTAATGTGTTTTCGTTTGCACAGGAGGCAATGGTGGAAATCGACGTGGATCAGTCTGGCTCCGTGGACTTCTACGAGTACCTAGGCGTCTCCACCATGCTGATGATGAAGATAGGTAAATCGGAAATCTTCCGCAGCAGCATGGTCAAGCACGCCGGGGGATCCATATCAAAAGTCTGCTCAATACAGTGAAGATGATGACTCTGCCAGAATAGAACAGCATTACAAGAAGCCTTTTCGGAGTTCCAACTGCGCATTCATAACCTGTGACAACGCGAATTGTTTGTCTCAAATGGCCTTTGACATCATCGCGCCACTGACTTTACAAAAAGGCTGTTTGTGCATTGTGGGTACTGTCAAAGGGCATTTGAGACAAACAATGTGCGTTGTCACAGGTTACGAATGCGCGCAGTTGGAACTCCGAAAAGGCTTATACCCCTTTAGATAAATTCCCAATAAGCATTGGAACCGAGGCAACAGTGCTATCTTGTGTTGAGAGGACTAAAAAAAGAAGAGGCCCTCAATGCATACAGTGACTTAGCACTGAGAGCCGCGGTTTCCATGCTAATTTGAAATTCGTCTATAGACCATGTGCAACTTGAATTGAGCTGCTCAGCACAGGAATCTGCTAATCACGGAAAACATGCTTAGAAAGGCAGGTTACCAACGAAACAATCGTGTAATTTGTATTACATGTACTGGTTCTCGGGTATTTTCTGCTTATTAACTCCATCAATTTATTGGCCCATATATATTTCACATTCATGAAAAATAGTGTTTAGCAAATTTATACATATACGCTGAGCAAAAATCAGCTGATAACCAATTACCGTGCAACTATTCCTAAGATGGAACTTTTGCGTCGGGGTGATGTAAATCAATGTTGGGTTTTGCCCTTCACCGACGTATAAACACTGATTACTCAGTGTGTTACCTCCCGAGAGAAAATTGTGTAAGCTCGGTGGTCGAGTGGTAAGACGTCTGCACTAGAAAGCAGGAGGTCGTGGATTCGAGTCCCACCCGAGTGGACATCAAGCCGCGGGATAATCCGGTTAAAGGAAATGGCATATCTGTTGTGGTGTTATCAAGATTATACTGTATTTTTAAAGGCGTGCCAATGTTTATTAATGGTTGAACTGCATTTCCGGTGTTGGTTATTTTGTTTTGTCTTGATCGAGTATTGTTCTGTTTTCTACTATGCTCACCATACAAGAAATGTTTTCAATCAGCTTATGGTAAATTTTATACACAGATTGAATAGTATTAGTGTAAATGAGTGGCTACGTAAAGATTGTGTTATTTTACACAAAGTGTTCCCCTCATTTTGGCTGAGAAGTCTGTCAGAGCATTTTTTACACACTCAGGCAGAATGTTTTTGTGTGTGTCATGATCCAGATGTAATTGAACAATCAAATCTTATGTTTGCGATAACCCAAATATTTTTTTTTGTAATGAATTAGGTGAAGTGTGTCTCTTAGAGTGTCATTTCTAAACCTGAATTTCTCTTTGCGGATGGAAAAAAAACTTTACTCTATCATGCACATCTACCGAACGCATTTGCTCCATTTTCATTATTAAAAGAGCGTTCCCTTCGTAGTACTGAAACTAAATTCGTGATGGTTGCTTGTAACCAGTTCACTGAGTGTTGAGTATTGTTTTTCCCCCAAAAGTGAAGCATGTAAATATATATTAAATTCAAGCACATCTCATTGCAATTTGCGATCCCGTTGAAATGAAGGGGTTGGTGCGAAACCTCCTTAATGATGAATGGTGCACAATTTAGAAACACATTTTAAGGAAAATGCTATTTTGAGGCGGTGAAAAAAAATACGGTTAGATATTGTGTCCATGTATGAAACGAGGGCAGAGATTTAAAAAAAATACTTCATGTTTATTTTGTGAAGCAGATTTTAATTTCTTTTGATAAACTTAATTTTGTATTAAAAAGTATCAAAGATTTCTTTGAAGCAGCATATCATACACACGGCCTGAGTGATCGAAAACAAAGCTTGGTGTCCGGGGCAGCATTATATCTGTTCACAGCATTATTTGGCAAGCTAAAGACTGTTGAGTGTGTATTTATTAGGTTCGAACGCTGGAGTAAAAGAATAATACTATGATGCATTTACAACTTCAAATACCATTCGTATCATTATTAGTTGTGTGTACCGGTAGGTTGATTTTACCGGTTCACCAGATCATCGGGCCATCGTACCGAGTTGTGTGCCGAACATTCGGACCGATCTGACCGTATAACGGGCAACCGAATGAAACCATACATCATTGATTTGTTCGCGTCCGATTTCACCGGATCCAAATGCACCGCACGCAACTTCTTAACCAATCAGATTCATGAGGGAAGTCACATGGTTGTCATCATATGACTGGTCATCTGTGACTGATCATCATGTGACCCATCGGCATTGGGCATGCGCAATGGTAACGTAGCGGTCTAACCGCAACGGTGAAAAAAACAACGTATACCGGTGATGGATGATCCGGGAAACCGGTAAAATCGGGAATGTGTGTGCGGGCTTTAGTGTTTGATTGAACAAAATGTCTGCCTGCTAGCTCGCACCAGCACTTTGGAGTTCGTTCAGAATATAATACCAGTATAATTCCTTCTCATTTTGGTCATTGTCTCTGGTCATCCATGCGTTTGATGACCCTGTTCAGGGTAGTTAGTTAACTACAATGTGCTGGTATCTAATCAGCAATGTTTTTATGCTGCTCTTAAGCTTTTGCTTGTAAAAACAAACAAACATTGACTTAAGTTTTGAAAAGTGCGGTTCACATTGCTCGGCAAGGTCATTTCGTTGCCATGAGGAAATTGTCCAATGAACCACTCTGAGAGCAAACAACAAAGCAATACTCAGAAAGTGAAATGTCGAACTCTAAAAATGTATTTCATATTCCAATTTAAAATGACATTTGTTATATAACTGTATCTTTTAAAGTATAAACATTATATATATATTACAATTCAGAAACGTGACATCTTGGAATGTATAGTACGATATATTACTCAAAACGTGACAAGGGGCATATGTGTCGGTCAACTAAAATACTGTCCTCTTTTTGTGCAGTGATGCGTGACTGAAATGAAATAAAACACATTTTGTGTTTAGGTGTTTAGGCCAAGGAAATGGAGTATTTGCAAAAATCAAACATTTTCAAAATTGACTTCATGGTTTTGTAATTATTTAAAAAATAGACCGATTTTTTTTTTTTTTTGGGGGGGGGGACATACTGTATGTACGCATCTTTCATGACAGTGCATAATAGGCTACTGGCACTGTCAATGGTTTAATTACATTACATATTAGAAGCAGTATGCACGTATAACACAACCTGGAAAAGATAATATAACACAACATGAAATAGATGTTTATTCGTAAATATATATACACAATACTATTTAAATACATGCACCTTTACGATACTGCTCCCACGTAATACCAGTGCAAATTAGCTCATATGTATCCCTTGAAATGTACACAATATTTTTCAGATCTAGGTCTATATGCATTGCACGGTCTGTGTTTTTCATCCTTGATGCCATTAACATAAAACAGAATCGCAAAATCCAATGGGGAGGCCCAGATGTCACATCGACGGATAATAATGAGCTCCGCACACACAGCCGTGCACTTGTGTGTGAATTCCCAATTATAGTTACACCTGTTAAGTTTAGGCAAAGGGATTATGTGTGGCTTGTGTGATGACCGTGACTTTGGTTGGAAGCACCCGATCTCATCATCATTCAATATGCCGATTGATTGTGGCGAGTTAGCTTTCCTACAGATAAAGGCGCGCCGTGGATTATTTTAATTAAAATTAGTTGCAGTCGAGACCACACGTCTGAATCACATTGTGGCTGAGTTTAAAACATCTGATCGGTGCGCATGAAACAACATGAATAAGATATTACATTTGTAAACTTAGAGAATATATCAGAAAGAGGTTAAGATTGTTTTTTTTTTGCAATTTACCCATAATATCCATTACAGTAAGATTATTTTAACCAGGCTTTAAGAATCACTGAACTGAAGCAAAACCAATTGTTCTTAGTTCTGCTAACAAAGGATATGTACGCCCATGTTAACAATTCTATAATAGTAATCATCATGTTATTCATGTACGAAAGTGCACAATCCAAAATTCCTTGTTAAACGTGAAAACACTCGTTGTAATCACAATTTTGCAATATTTAAAAACAAATGAAAAAATGCTTATGGCGAGCTAGGTCGTGAATTGGACTTACATCTGGCCTTGGGTATATCAAAACTCTTTTTGCTTATTGCACAATTTCATAAGGCGTAATTTCTCGTCCGTGACGACTATAACTGCAACCTGATCGCCTCCCGAGACTGAGGTTTCAGCAATGCTGGTTTGATATTCGATATTCGATACTACATACGTTTCTACAGTGAATGTGAGAGTTTTAGCTTGATATTCGGTATCGTACATTCGAATATGACTGTTTTCATCCTCCCATGGACTTAATACACGGTTAATCTGCCTGCACCGTGAAGTTAAAATAGCTCATAATGTAAACGGGAAAATATTTGGGGGAATTGTACCTTTGATGATACAAACATGGCATTTGGCACAAAGAGTATGTCATGAGAAAGATATTTGGCTACAGGGCCATCGCATATTTGTCCTTTGAAAAAAGGTAGAGATCGAAACAAGCAATTTTCCTTTTTTTTTTTAAATGGCAGCCATTGCTTGTTATTCTACCTATAATTTTTCAAAGGACAAATCTGTGATGGCCCTATAGCCAAATATCTATCTCATACTAATACTATGATTGTGTGCCAAGTACGCCATGCTTGCATCATCAAAGGTACAATCCCATCACCTATCTTCTCTACTAATTCGTGTATACAAAGACGAAAAAAAAACTCACATAGAAAATGCGTCCAATATCAAAGAAAGTTTTATGTCATATTTCATGGCGTGGATTTCTCGCTCAGTCGACCGAAGTCTAGCGGGTACCGCTCCGGTAGGCTCTCCCGCACGGACTGGACGGCGCACCAGTCCACGCGTAACTGGTCCACGATGTCTGCCATCTTGTTGTCGAGTCGGCCTGGGCTTTGGTACTGCGCGTCTCGCACCGTCTGGAAGGCGTCCGCTATCCGCTCCACGGAATCCCTGAGGTGGTTGAGGTTGGCTTCCATGGTGTATCGGTCCTCCTTGGCCACTGAGAAGTCGCTGGAGATTTTCAGGATGGCCCTCGATTCCTAGATCGAAAGACATGATTTATTGAA